GTGCTAGCATTCTGCACAGACATCTGTATCTATAGCCCATGGATTACATCGTCCCAAGAACTCCATGTTGCCTCTGGGAGAGGTATACTTTTAGAGGAACTAGCAAACACCCAAAATTCATAGGAAGCAAACTGGGCACTCGCTTATGCCAGGCCAGACTATTTGTCCATCTAGCCCGGAATTATTTACTCAAATTGGCATTGGCTCCCTGGGATCTCAAGCAGACACACCTCCAACCCAACTACTTAGAGGCGGCCAGGTATTGAACTTGGACCTTCAGCATGCAAAACCCAGGTTGTGCCACTGAGCCAGGACTCACATAAGGTGGTAGTTCCTGACTTTCCTCCACACTGAAATGGCCAGTGGACAGTATCACCTCCCAACATGGCAGCGAAATACTCCATTATGGAAAAAGCACTGCTATGGCAGAAATTCTCCCAAGCATCCCTTGTCTCCAAGCATGTCCCAGCAAATCCCAACCCCATATTAACCTGAGAGCTAAAGAACATCCTGATGCTTAGATCTGACTACAGCAACTTGCACCCTCTGGGCCTAGCAGCTGCAAGATGGCCAGTACTTCTCTTTGTTATCACTCCCCTGCTAAGCTACACGTTGAGAGATGAAACATGAACGAGACCTGCACACACAGATGCTCAACCCAACTTAGGTTCATGCTGGAATGATGGGAACTGAAGGAAGAGCACTCTCCAGCATCAGATGATCCCAAGCACGTGTTCAAGCTTATGATCAAAAAAATGGGGGGGGGGATAGCACCCGCAGATGCCTTGATGGGACAAGCACTTCCTGCAATGTCAAGGCCCTTTAAGCAAGTGCTGCATGAAGGGTACTTTCTGCAGCCGGCTGCACCCCTCAGAATGCAAGAAGAACAGCTCTGAGCTTGCATGCCGTCGCTTTGCCTGTCAGACATAAACAATGCTGCTCCTCTTACAAAGAAAGAAGGGGAAAGGTAGGTGTGTGTGTGTGTGTGTGTGTGTGTGTGTGTGTGCACTGCGGGGGTGAGGAGTGGAGAAATGGAGAGAAGGCAAGAAAGAGGCATGTTTTGGGGGGGTGGGAAGGAAGAAGAAAAGCTCTGGATCGCAGGCAGCTAGCGCTGCATCGGGTTCCCTCCCACATCCCGATTTCCAAGCAGCAAGCTCCACGCTGGGCGGCTGGGGGAGGCTGGGAAGCAGTTCCTCAACTAGGCAATTGTTATTGAGCAAAGCACAGGTTGAGCAAGACCTCCCTCCAGTGCACCTCTGCGCGGAGGAGGAGAAGGGAGAATGGGACCGGATGAGAAGGTTCTCTTACCTCAAGATGCTGTGCTTTGAAAGCCAAATTGCAAAGAAGCCGGGTCAGGTAAATCCGTGTTCCCTCTGAGCTTTGGAAGAAAAGGATATTTAATCACATTTAGGAACGGTCCGTGACTCGTCGATCTGGCGCTTTGATGGATCGGAGCTTCAACGGATTCATTGCTAAGCTCTTCGTCTTCTGCAAGAAGAGGAGGAAAGCGGGGGGGGGGGAGGTGGAGAGAGAGAGAAAAAAAGCCTGAGAGTTGGAGAGAATATTCACTTCTTTCTTAGGTTTCCAATGGCAACAGGATATGCCACAAATGAATAGTGAGTGCGTTTGAGTGCATGTATGTGAGAGAACAAGAGAGAGCAGCACACAGCTGCTTAGTCCACGGGCAGTGCAGGATGCAACCTAGCGGGGCATGTCAGCGATCATGGAAAGAGACAAGTGAATGTACACAGGAAAGGAGGCAGACGGACCGAGGGAAGCAGCAAGCCAAGCCCAGAGTGAAGCAGAGTCCTATCCCACAACTCAACAACTGACTGAGGGCCCAATGCTCAAGGCATGCACATTTTTGTGGGGTTTGCCCTGGAACAGTTACTCTCCGTCCCCCGCATTAAGCATTCCCACCCTTCAAGGCATTCTTGCTCAGCTTTGGCGAATTTTTCCCCAGCCACTTCTCAGGCTGCGGAAGCAAGCACTTAAAATCCGCAGGTTTAGTTTCGCATCAGATACCAAGCCCATGGGCAAAGCAAACCTCAAGGAGCACATACAGCCAAGGAGTGTGGGTGGTCACCGGTGTAACTGATGCCTTTTGCAATACTGCAGGGTCAATCCCATGCTACGTTGTCCTTGCTGAACATGCGCAACGTACTTTGAACCTGCCACAGGAGGCCAGTGGTGCTTGATGACAAGACAGAAGTCCTCCTAGGACTCTTTCTAACGTCCCCTTTAGCAACGCGGAACAGCAACTCGTTCACATGCCACTGGATGATATCAGAAGTCCACAGTCAAGCGCTATAGCCTTCATCCCACTGCTCCTTCCCATGCCACCCCCATCCCTCCCAGGAACTGTGTGTGTGTGTGTGAAGGTGATGTATCTTTGATGCCTCTCACATGACCCACACAGGTGCCCCATGCTACTGAGTGGCAAAGGGAAAGGAAATTCTGCAGTGGCTCCCATAATGCTAAAAGGGGGAGAGAAACAGCCCTGAAAAGTAAGCTTCAAACTGCCTTGTGGTGAATGTGCAGCTGTCTCTTGATATGCCAAACATTGTAAGTGCAAAAATTATTTGTATTCTGGCAGGCAAAAGCAGATCAAGGGCTGAGTGCAGGGCCCTCTCGTGCAACACACATGTATGTGCATACAGTAGGCAACACACAGTGTTAGAAACTCAGATACATAATCTAATCGCCAAACAGCACCTTAAACCTAGGTTACAGTGGCCACAACGGAATGCCTAGGTGCCATTTTTTCCCGGTGATGTTTTTTGTTGTTGTTATTATTATTATTGGTTTCATTTCTATACCAGTTTATATTTTTTAAAAAAACCTCAAAGAAGTTAACACCATATTAAAACACCAAATAAAACAATCCAGAATGAAATAAATTCAAGCTTCAAGGCAAGTATTTCAGATCCTTTTCTAAGCGACATTTTGCTTTCCCCATATTTATTTACCTACTTGATTTATATAGCTACCCCATTAACAGAAGGACTCTAGGAAGCCAAGGTGGTGTAGTGGTTAGAGTGTCAGACTAGGACCTGGGAAACCAGGGTTCAAATCCCCACTCTGTCATGAAGCTCGCTGGGTGGCCGTGGGCCAGTCACAGCCTCTTCTCATACCTCACAGGGTTATTGTAGGAATTAACTGAGCCATGTACTCCTTGAAGAAAAAAGTGTGATACAAATGCAGTAAATAAGCTCTTCTGCTTACCTGCTTAAGAAATGGGAGAGGTCAGCCAGATGGAGACATCCGTCGCCAACGTGGCATCCAAGAGATCTCCATGTGGTCGCAATTGGACCCGTGCCATTTGCAAGAGGCGCTGGGGGAATTCCTAGCCCTGGCAACATGCACAGCACACCCCACAGAAACACATCCACCACACAGACTTGAAATTCAAACAGCAACTTCCTTCCAGCAACGCATCCTCTGATGTACTTTGTGAGCAGATGCCCATGCATGGAGGCTGACCAAAACTGCTGCCACCTGATGGGGCTCATTGCAATGGCTGTAACATCTGAGAGTTGCTTTCAGTTTAATCATGTCTCCGAGCAGTTCTGTCCAACCACATGGAATGGGGCTTTCCAACATTGCTGCCGACATGGAGGAGTGCTGTCACACAGAACCCCTTGCCAGCAGCCTCCTTGTGGATCCCCATTGCCTTGGAATTGACCCTCACTCGTACAAAATGTGCGCCTTGCAGTGACCGTGGAGCTTTTTTAATGCGTTCACCACAGAGCATCTCGACCAGCTGGAGTTTGGATGGAGATTACGGTTTCACTTATGTGCCTAAGCCGTGGGACAGCCTCTGAGATGGTGAGGCCTTTTAAAGAGGTAGAAATGGAATGCTACAACGATTTGTTTTTGAGGTCACCCATGCTGCAGAATTGTACCTTCACTCACCTCCTCCATTCTGCCTGCTTCCCTTTGCAGGATACTTTCCCTGACAGCCTCCCGTGACATTTCTAGTTAATATTACTACGCTGTAGAACAAGGGCGAGCACCTTGCAGCTCTAGGGACACATGCATAGCTCTCAGCCTAATTTCCTGCAGCCCTTGGCCTAATTTCAAAACTGATCTCTGCAATCGGTTCAGAACCTCTGATGGTAGGGATTTCTCCCTTCCTGGCAGCCAATGGGCAGGGAGGAAGAAGATGACAGGCAGAGATAATGGGGTGGCAGAGAGAAGCTTTTTTTTTTAAGGCCCCACCCACTTTTGGCTCTGGCCCTATCAATTGCCAGCATGCAGCCCTGCACCCACAACAGATTACCCTTGATGGAAATCAGCTTTCAATGGAAAGATTGCCCACCCCTGCAGAGCATGGACCGCTTCATACATGCATGTTCAGATGAAGCAGCAAGCAATGGTATGTATATGGCCACATCCACACCTTACATTATAAGCACATTTAAATCACATGACTCCCACCCAGAAGAATTCTGGAAACTGCTTTCCCCCTCACAAAGCTTCAAATCCTGGCACCCTTAAACTACAATTCCCAGGAGTCTTTGTGGGAAGCAGTGTGCTTTAAATGCATGCTGTGGGTGTGACCACAGCCATCTCAGGTCCACTGTCACAGATGGGGCTTTTGTATTATCTCAATGTCCCCTTAGTCTCTTGCATAGTTTTCAGTTAGCAAAAGTTCGCAGTTCACTCTGGCTGTGGACACACCATAGCTTTAAAGAACATCACCAGCACCCCATGTGCTTTAGAGGTTCCTGTGTGCATAGCCATGTTCAGCTGCTAGTATTCAAGTGCCTGAGTAGCGGAGCACTAAAAAGGTAAGTGTTGAACAGACACATGTGAATGATACCTGTGTGTGTCTGTGTAAATGTACAGAGTGGTTGACAAAATGCATCCCCGTAACATAATGAAACAACATACACTAGAACACATTGCACATATTATATTAAGGGTCCATCCCTAGACATATATACTGCTAACATCTTCTTATATACACAGTGCAAAAACTAAATGTTCCTCTGTCTGTCTGTCTGTCTGTCTCTCTGTCTCTCTCTCTCTCTCTCTCTCTCTCTCTCTCTCACACACACACACACACACACAGAGAGAGAGAGAGAGAGAGAGAGAGAGAGAGAGATTTCCCTTGTTATCTTCTCAGATCACCATCACAAAATTCTTATGAATCTATCCTAAGAAACATGAAGTGCTTTTTTATTTTAAAAAATGTTTAGGGGTGCTCTCATTTTCCTTCTCATATTGAAATACTGCCCCTCAATGAGGCCAAACTTAGATTCACAAAATGTTTAGGGGTATACCTACCCCTGCATCCCCCCCAGAAAAAAAAGCACTGGAAACATGTATCACAATCCTGACGTTAACCTTGCCATGTTTTCATGTAATGATAGATTTACATTGGTTACATTTCATGCTAAAGTACTACCCCACAGAAAGAAACACTTTTATAGGCATAGTTGTACAAACTGATGTGCATATCACACAAGCAGACCATCTACAGAAGTAGTCATTGTGGTGTGCCTGTCAAGTAAGGTGCAGTGGTGAGACTGGAGAGATCAGACTAGGGAAACGCAGACACAAATCCCAGCTCAGCCCCATGCAGTGGACATCACTACTACGGGCAAGTCAGTAGCTCTCCAGCCAACCTACCCTGCAGGCCTGTGAGTTTTAAATGCATGTGAGTTTAAAAATATTGATCTGAACTCCTCAAGAGGAAGAGAGTGATGCAAATGTAATAAATAAAATAAGCCAAAGGTGTGTGCAAAAATACACAAAAAAGCCCCAGAAGCTAAGGGGATCTCAATCACACAGCCAGTCCCTGCAGAAAGCAGGGCTGAGCTCACCACCCATCACCGGGGAGGCAGTGGGTTCAGCTCTGCTGGAATGGCGGCATGAGTTCTACATGGCAAATCCTCCTGCACTGTGGTTTCAAGCCCCCGACAACAAGTTGGCTGTTGGGTGCTTGGGAATTGGCACACAGAGGACTTTGACCTATCCATCATCTGTTGACACAATGACATTGAGTGCTTGATAATGGGCTGCCCTGCCCACCTATCAACGTTGACCCACAGGGGTTGGGAACCATCAGGCAAGATAGGTTCCCCACATCTAAATGGCATCATCACTGTGACAAGATTCAGTACAACACAGGTGCAAGCCAGTCAGCCACAGCCAACTAGGCCCTTATGTCTAGATACATACCAGAAAATATAGGGGGAAACTACAGACAAAAAAATGCACAAACACTCACAGAGGCTATTTTGTCCCATTTTGAATTATGGCTGCCTTCAAATTGTTTAGAAGGGCTGTACTTTTCCATAGTTTATACACCCAGAGATAAAATTCTGACAACTCTTTGCATTTTCCACTCAATACGGTGCTGAACTGAATAGACAACAGGCCAGTTCTTCCCCCTGCCCATCATTTCCTGCCCCCCAGTGCGGCCACAGTAGTTCAGGATCTACATGGCTAGAGAAGAAGCATCATCCACAGGCACAAATCCTGCCCACTCTCCTCTTGTCCTCCTTCCCTTTGGCAATGGGGATGCATAATCTGCATGCAAAGAAGAGCTGGAGGTCTCAGCAGCCCAGAGTGCTGTGAAATTGGCTGATAGCAGCATCGGGGGAACAACATGACTGCAAATCCTAAACACGGCATAAACTCCAATGGCAGGCAGGTAGTTGGAAGGGAGAAGAAGAGCCAGGTGTTCCCAGGTCAAAGGAGGGATGGGAAGGGAGGGGGGCTGGTGGCAGAGGGCGACTGAGGGACACAGGCAAAATGAGATGGGTGCCAGAGGTAACATTAGGTACGGCTTCCTTCACAGCATATTATGGACAGCGGATCCCAGGTCACTGCAGTGGGTAAGTAGGTCATATTTGCATGTGCGTGTGTGTGTGTGTAAAACAGAGCAACTGAAAATGCACACACACAAACGACATCCATTTACATTTCTTGAGGGGTTTACATGAGGGCAAAGGCACATGCTGTCTACTAAGCCTTCTTCAGTTCCTAAGATTAAGCCACTGAAACACCCTCTGCGTGGGCTACCTTTAAAAACAGTTCAGAAATTTCAACAGATCAAAACACTCTTTTGTCTGGTGCCTATTGAATGGAGTACATAATACAGTCTTCCATCAGCTTCAGCAGATGGCCCAGCTGCACCCCTATCTGCACAGGGATAGTCCAACTTCTGTTGTGTGTGTGCTCTGGCAGCCTCTAGGTTAGATCACTGCAACATGTTATATGTTAGGTGGTCTGAAGATGGTTCAGAAACTTCAGCTGGTGCAGAATTTGGTGGCCAAAACCATTTGAGCATATTGCACTGATCCTAGCCCAACTAAACTGACTGCCAATTAGTTTCTGGGTCCAATTCAAAGTGCTCGTTTTGACTTTTAAAACCTTAAATGGCCCAGGACTGCAATACCTCAAGGACCGCCTCTCCACAAATAAACCGTACTGGACTCTGAATTCATCATCTGAGGCCCTTTGTCGTGTGCCTCCTCTATGAGACGTTTGGAGGGTGGCAATATGAGAATGGGCCTTTTCTGCAGTGGCTCCCCACTTGTGGAATGCTCTCCCCAGGAAGGTGCAGTTGGCACCTTCACTATACACCTTTAGGCGCCAGGCAAAAATGTTCTTCTTCAACCAGACCTTTCACTGATTGGCATCCAATGCCCTTATTATTACTATTTGGGGGGTATTGGTTTGTTCTTGTTCTTATTTTTATTATGTATTTTGTGTTTTTTATATTGGAATTTTATGTTGTGATCTATGGATGAAGGGTGGTATACAAATTTAATAAATAAATTCAATATTAACTCCACATGCTGCCTATTTGTCTGGATTTAAAGAATTGGTTTGGACCTTTAAAACACTGAGTCAGTGCTTCCCAAAGTGGTCAGTACTGCCCCCTGGGAGGGGAGGGGGATTAACTAAGGGGGGTGCTAAGAGTCCTCAGCCCAGTATACCTGAAGGAGCATCTCCACCCCCATCATTCAGCCTGGACACTGAGGTCTAGCACTGAGGGCCTTCTGGCAGTTTCATCACTGTGAGGTTACAAGGAACCAGGCAGGGGGCCTTCTCAGTAGTGGCGCCCGCCCTGTGGAACGCCCTCCCATCAGATGAAGAAGAAGAAGAGGAGTTTGGATTTGATATCCTGCTTTATCACTACCCGAAGGAGTCTCAAAGCGGCTAACATTCGCCTTTCCCTTCCTCCCCCACAACAAACACTCTGTGAGGTGAGTGGGGCTGAGAGACTTCAAAGAAGTGTGACTAGCGCAAGGTCACCCAGCAGCTGCATGTGAAGGAGCGGAGACGCGAAGCCGGTTCCCCAGATTACGACTCTATCGGTCTTAACCACTACACCACACTGGCTCTCTGTCAAGGAAATAAACAACTATCTGACTTTTAGAAGACATCAGATATCAAGGAAACAACTACCGGTATCTGATTTTTATCTGAAGGCAGCCCTGTTTAGGGAAGTTTACCCAGATGGGCAGGGTATAAATAATAAATTATTATTATTAATTATTATTATTACTATTATTATTATTAGTGGGTAGCAAGGGGGCGCTTGAGGTATAAATGTCTATCAGCTGGTATCACTGGATCAAGTTCATTAATTTTGTTGAATTGATTAAACTCAATAGTTTGAAATGGATTTTGAATAAATGTGCAATTACTGTTTTGAATTTTATTGTGTTATCTTCTTCCTTTGTGGGCTGTGCAAACCACGGTTCTGAATAATGCTCTTCAGAGGGGTGGGGGGCACTGGGGATGAGTTTATGGAACCAAGGGGGGGTGGTACAAAAAAAGTTTGGGAATCACTGCACTAAATTACCTAGGGTCCTGGCTACCTTTGGGGTCATCTCTCCCCCTGCCCCCATCTAAAAATCAGGTTTGGAGGCCTCACCAGGCTCCATCGCTGGTCCTTTTGCCTCTAAACTGTAAACTTTCCTCTTCTGGCAGGCTTTTAATGTTCAAAGATTTAGAGGGCCTACTTTTGGTACAATTTTTTAGATTGCTGCCTTTTAGTTTATTTGTGGCAGTGTTTCCAGTGTGTACTTTGGTGCTTGGTACATATTTTTCTCATTTTGTACATCTTGGGCTGTGAAGCTGCTCTAAGCACCCTATGGCAGAAGAGGAGTTTGCGCTTCTTGCTTATTTACTTACTACAACAGTAATGTCAAACCATTCTTAAAACTCAAATACCCTGAGGCTGTGCATTAGAAACACAAGGATGTTTTGTACACAACAGGGTGCTATTTTTGTACTACTAACCTTATTTACAGGCTTTCAGGGGTCTAACTGGCCACGCTGTGTCCAGTTGCAGGCCACTCTCCCTGGAAAGCACTAAGGAGAGAGGAAAGAAGCACTCTTGTGTATTTCCTGAAGCACCCATCTTCCCACACCTGGGAGCCCTTATTGGACTGCTGCTTCCTGATACATGCCTAAAGATGTCTAAAGACCCTCGTCTATCGTTCACATGCCACCTGTTTGCTTTGCACTTTATAAGCTGACTTTACCAGTGTCCCCACAGCAAACACAACTGCCCCATTGTGTGTCAAGAGGTATTTGTTTCTATGCATATATTAAAAAGGACTATTTGCCATCTAAAACATAAGGAACTCGGACTAGACCTACTGAAATTAATGGCCACGAGTAACTTAATGCTATTCAATTTCAATGTGTCTGCTCTGAGTAGAACATGCACCGGATAGTGCATGGGCCTTGATTTGCAGTGCCGTGTATGCACTTTCAAAACACAAGTTTCTAGCCATCATGGGCCTGGGCATGCATTTGGAAACTAGCAGGCAACAGGCACTATCACTGGCCATTGTGAAAGCTGTGAAAACACACACAAGGATCCCATTCTCACCTATGGGAAGGAAAATCATCTCATTACATACCCAATAAGAGTGAAGAACTTTCCAGTTGCAATTTATTAACTGCTAGCACAGGCATAGGCAAACTCGCCCTCCAGATGTTTTGGAACTACAACTCCTGTCATCCCTAGCTAACAGGACCAGTGGTCAGGGATGATGGGAACGGTAGTCCCAAAACATCTGGAGGGCCGAGTTTGCCTATGCCTGTGCTAGAAGCTCCATTCTTCAAGGAAAGGAGCATATGAACCCT